AGGACGGGCCGTCGGGGGACACAACACAGAAAACACCTCTCAGACCCTGCCCTGTTGTGGGGTGGGGCATCAAGGACTACTCGTGTTTCCTCATGCCTTCCCTAGGTGTACTTGGCCTGGTGCAACAAACACCGTGGACCAGGGATCCCTCCGGAAGGAATGAGGACCCACTGTTGGCCCAGGGATACACAGGTGCCCTCTCTCCTCACTGCCCAGCCAAACCCACAAGAAAACACCTCTCAGACCCTGCCCTGTTGTGGGGTGGGGCATCAAGGACTACTCGTGTTTCCTCATGCCTTCCCTAGGTGTACTTGGCCTGGTGCAACAAACACCGTGGACCAGGGATCCCTCCGGAAGGAATGAGGACCCACTGTTGGCCCAGGGATACACAGGTGCCCTCTCTCCTCACTGCCCAGCCAAACCCACAGGGCTTATGGTCAAGCACCTGGCTTCAGAGCCCTACCAGGGACAGTAGCATCACTGGGCGCCTCCCCAGGCAATCAGAGGCAGCTCCTGTGAGTGGTGCCGAGATGAACTGCAGGAGGGAGAAGGCTGAACCAATGAGACCTGAGAGACAGAGGTCCCCATCACCAGCAGCCTTAACATTGTAGGAGTCCCAGAGGATAGGTCACACTGGGCCCCACACTTCCAGGCCATGGACAGGTGGCCTCAATGCAAGAACATACCTGTCAGTCAAAGGAGGCTCTGCAGGAAAGGCCAAAGTGGCAGGAGCCCAGGCAGGGAGGATGGGAGGATGGACCAGAACCCAAGCTTGACCAGTCTGACACTCACTGGCATGCCTACCTCCAAACAGGACACTGTTGTACCTCTTCTCAGCTGGCATCCCAATGGTTGTCGCAAACCAGTTCACTCCGTGCTGCCAGGAGCTGTAGACTGGGTCCTGAGGAACAAGGAAAAAAGTACAAGGGATGGATGAGCATGTGGTGGGCTGGGAGGAGGGTATTCCCACCCTGGGGGAGGGGATACTGCGCCCTGGAGAGGGGGTGCTCCGGCCTCGGGAGGGGTCGCTCCGCTCTAGGGAGGGCTTCTGCATCCTCCTGGGGAGGGGGTACTGCGCCCTGGGAAGGGGGTGCTCCGGCCTGGGAATACTGCGCCCTGGGGAGGGGGTACTGCGCCCTGGGAAGGGGGTGCTCCGGCCTGGGGAGGGGATACTGCGCCCTGGGGAGGGGGTACTCCGCCCTGGGAAGGGGGTGCTCCGGCCTGGGAAGGGGGTGCTCCGGCCTGGGGAGGGGGTACTGCGCCCTGGGAAGGGGGTACTCCGGCCTAGGGGGCGCTCACCCGCGCCCGGCCATGGCTCTCCAGTAGCTGGGGCAGCAGCGGCAGCAGCAGCGTGAAGGCCAGGAGGTCGAGCAGGAGGCCGAAGAAGACCACGGTGAGCACACGGCGCTCGGACGCGGGCTGCGGGCGGATCGGCGGGCGCGGGGTGCAGCCAGCGTCCCCTCCCCACCCCATGGTGGCCGCTCCGACCTGCTGGGGTGGCAACCACCTGGCCTGTGTTCCTGGGAGCTAAGTTTCCGGGTACCCGCCAGCAATAGAGAAGCGCAGAGGGGGCGGGGCAGGATCCGGCTGTGCACAGGGCACGGGTAGCGGGAAACCCGGGGGTAGTGGGGAGCGACGTGCACCCCGGGACCGCGCGCCTGAACCCAGCACACCCACGACGACCACGGTGGGCCAAGCTCCGGGCCAGGGGCACCCAGAGGGGAATGCACCGCGCAGGAGCGGCCACGCCCCGGACGCAGCAAGACGGCACCTCCTCTTCCGGCAGCCTCGGGCCGGGTCAGAGCCTGGGACCCTGTGTGGTGCGGGAGGGCCTGGATCTGCCAGTGGAAAGGTTCTGGAGTGCAGAGCTTCGTCGTCTGACAAGTCCCGGAGCCTGGGCACTTGGGTGCGTTTGAGTCAGGGTCTCCTGTAGCCAAAGCTGACCAATTCCTGGCCCTCCGGCCTCCACCTCCCCCGAAGCTTACTCTAATGAACCACCAGAGGCTAGGCATGGAGGCTCATTCCTACAGTGCCACCCTTGCTTAAAGGTCATCCTCAGCAATCTACAGAATTTGAGCTCAACTTGAGCCTTGTGTGTCTTCAGAAACCGCACCACACACCTCTAAACTTTCTGATAGCAGCGAAACCACACTTTGGTCCCACCGGTGCCCCCATTCCCACATCAGGGACGGTGCATGTTGGCTCCCTCCCCAAAAGACACACAACCCAGGCTGTGACTGCACAGGTCCAATGGAGCCTCTGCAATCCCGGCTGCTCCTGGCAGTACTGGCTCAGCCCGGCACGTCTCCAGAGCCATCCAAGGATGACCATGCTGAGCGCCAGACTTTGGCACAGAGATGAAAAGGTTTTATTTTCTTGTTTTTTGAGACAGGGTCTCCCTGTAGCCTGGACTGGCCTGGACCTTGCTATGTAGACGAGGCTGCCCTCAATCTCACAGAGGTCCACCTGCCTCTGTCTCCTGAGTGCTGGGATTAAAGGCAGGTGCTACTGCCCCCAGCTATTTTGTTTTTAATTATGTGTATGTATGACTGAGTGTGGGCACGACCAGGTGCCCAAAGAGGTCAGGCAACTGTGACCCACCTATGTGGGTGCTAGAAACAGCTTGGTTCCTCTGGGAGAGCAGTGCTCTTTACCATTGAGCCGTCGTACAGGCACCCACACTTCATTCTGTGTTTCAACTCTGGCTTCACCATGTCCAAAATCAAACTCCTAACTGCCCTTACCAGCCTGCTTTGGTGAGAGATCCTACAAAGGTGACAAGGACCAGTCACCTGCTGTTTACTAGGCAGGTGGTCCTGAGCATGTGCAGACAGGCAGTTCTGTTGTGCAGTCTTCATGCCGTGTCCTCATCCAAACTGCAACAGCCATGTGCCACATCCATGTATGGGGACCACTGCTGAATGCCATGATCTGGTGTGGCTATCAGCTGCCAGTGTAAAGTCTCACAGTCCCTAGTTCCAAAAGCACATTTCTAAACTCATCTGTGTTATGGCTGGTAAGTTTTTTTTTTTGTTGTTACATATATTTTTTTTCTTTTGACCTTCTTTTGAGGCAGGGTCTCCCTGTAGCCCCAAGTGGTCTGGAACTCACTATGTAGACCAGGCTGGCCTGGAACTCACAGAGATCCCCTGCCTCCGCCTCCAGAGATAGAAGGTAAGTTTTTTGTTGTTGTTGTTTTCAGTGCGCTTAACCACTGACATCATCCCTCCAGCCCCAGAAGATAAGTTTCAACAAGAACACAAGAACACACCCCACCCTGCTGTGGCCCTTCATCACATCACACAGTGCATCTTGGCTTCTTTGATGCAACGGTTTATTTTTTTAACCTTTTCCTCTTCAGGGCCTTCCATTCCCCTTCCTGTGTGGCCAGGCTATTAAAAAGCTGCTTGACTTTGCGCTTTCTTTCCGCATCCCTAAAGGGAAAAAGCAAATGCCACTTTTAGCCAGTTTGAGGAGGATTTCTTGCCCTCTTCCTGTCCAAACATTAACAGTTCAGAATTAAACCTGCTCAGCCCAACCCTCAGGCCTGGCTGCTGCATGCCAGACACCCTGAATCCTGGTGCTGCTGAGAAAGACCAGTCATGCACGCTGTCCTCACCTCTCCATGATCTCTGAGAGCTGCATCCTAGCCAGGAACTGACTGTCCTTCCGGATCTCACGGACAGCACCTTTGAACTCCCGCTTGTGCTTATGGACGAGTCGCCTCCTCTCCTGCTCCTCCTTACTGCTGCCTTGCTTCCGTCCGAACTCCAGCCTGAAGTTGGGGACCAACAAGGCTTGAGGAGTGTGAGTCCAGTCCACCCCTTCAGTCCCGGCCTGCAGGTGAGCAGCCTCTCCCCTTGATCACATGCTGCAAGTACTGACTCAGCTGATGCCCCAAGACTTCCAGCCCCAGTCCCGGGGTCCTCAGGGCACCCAGTACTCACACTTTGACCAGCCGGGGTGTGAAGAGCTTCAGCGGGACTGGCTTGCTCTTCTCGAAGACCAGTGGCCGGTAGAGCTGTTTTTGGTTTTCCACCTCTGACAGTATGCTTCGAGACAGCTCCTGAGGAAGACAAAAGCTGGTGCTGACCACTGTGGGCCGTGAGCAGGGTACCTACCTGAGGTCCTCCCATGGACTCAGGACTTCAAGAGTGACATGAGGGCAAAGCCAGGCTTTGGGTCCTCATTCTGTGGAGACTTACAGACCTCACACTTCTGAACTACTGCTGGAGGTGCATGTACAGTGCTCGGCCCAATGTTTGGTGCACAAGAGAAGTTCCGCAAAAGTGTGCTGCTGCTCATCCTGTTGTGGTGACTATCTCTAAATGATTACTGATGAAATTATGCTTATACTTAACTTCCTTTCCCTTTCCTTAAGACATGTGGCCCTGGCCAGCCTTGAACTCACAGAGACCCTCCTGTTTCTACCTTCCAAGTGCAGGAACCACCTCACCTGGCCCCATCATGACTTTTTTTTTTTTTTTTTAAATTATTTTTATTTTATGTGTATGAGTGTATTGCCTTGCATGTAGGTAAGTGCACCCGTGTCGTGCAATGCCCTCTGAGGACAGAAGAGGCTGTCAGAGCCCCTGGAACTAGAGTTACGGACAGTTGTTAGCTGCCATGTGGGTGCTGGGATTTGAACTTGGGTCTTCTGCAAGAACAGTCAGTGTTCTTAACCTCTGTGCCATCTCTCCAGCCCCCCCCCCCAAATCATGACTTTTAAACTACAATCTCAATAACAAAAATACTAAGCTGGGCATGGTGGCACACTTTAATCCCAGGAGGCAGAGGCAGGCAGATCTCTACAAGATCAAGGCCAGTTTGGTCTAGTGAGTTGCAGGACAGCTGGGGCTACAGGGAGACCAGTGCGGGGAGAGGCTTCCCCTCTGCCACGTGGCCATATCTGCTTTGTCAGAGACCAAGAGCAATTCCAAGTTCTTCCCAAGTGTTCTGAAAAGCTGAAGAGTGAAACCTGAATCTCAAGGGTACAGGTCAGAGAGGACCTGGATACTATAAAACACAACAAAGCAACAAAAGCCCCAAACCTAAAACAAACCCCCAAATGCTCAAAGCCTGGTGCTAGCTCCTAGATGGTCTACTACCAGGCAATGCACTCTAGTGCAGGAAACCTTACCTGGAGTTCTTTCGGGAGACTGCAGTCCACCAGATGCACTGTCAGGAGGGCTTGAAGGGGCCCAATGATGGGGTGGAAGGACGGCAGCACACTGTACATGAGCACACAGTGCTTCAAAAGGGCCAGACACAAGGTCAGGCAGGACAGTCTGCAAAGGAGGGACAGTGAGAGGACCTGCTCGTCCCAGTTCAGTTTATCGCTGGCAGGCTGATAATGCTGGCAAAATAAGCCCCCACAGCCTGGAAAACCCAGCAGAGGCACCAGCAGAGCCACCAGCAGACGCTAGTGGCTCACTGCAGTAGTCAAGAACTGCTGCTTGCTATAGGGAAAGAGGCTCAGGAAAGGTAGCAGCACCTTGAAAAGGGGGCGCCACACCTCGGGTCCTAATCAAGCAGACACATTTTGAAAGTACTGCTATGTATGTTAGAAGTTTGTTTCAGATGAAAAAAGACTCACCATATCAACAAGGCCAGGAAAGGTTCACAGGACAATTACAAAAGACAAATTAGCTAAGAAATAAACTGCAGCAGTAAGACGCCCGGTTTCCCCATCTCAGGGATGTGCACACATACCTGATGTGGTTGGTTTCTGTTGCTGACTTGGGGCTCAGCCTACTTGCCCAGTGCAGGGAGAGGCTTCCCCTCTGCCACGTGGCCACATCTGCTTTGTCAGAGACCAAGAGCAATTCCGAGTTCTTCCCAAGTGCTCTGAAAGGGTGCACCAGAGCAGAACCTGAATTCCAAGTGTGACAGGTCAGATGCTTCTGGCTCTCAGGGCCAACTTTGCAGTAGCTCAGCCTTTAAAAGTTCTTCCTTCACCAAGCTGCTAGGCTTTGCCAGACACTGTAGAGCCATTGGAATTGGGCAAATAGCCACAGAAAGGACACCTGGGTGACCACAGACTTCCTGTGGCCTGCCAGAACTTATACCTGGCTCCAGGGTCTTAGGCCATGACCAAGACAGACCACAGCCTTGCCTCATAGGAAGACAGTCATCACCAGCATACAGATAAATGAACTAGACAAAAAAGGGGACACTGGGGCTGGAGACATGGCTCAGCGGTTAAAAGCACCAGCTGCTCTTGCAGGGGACCTGGGTTCGATTCCCAACACCCACATGTTGGCTAACAACTGTCCATAACTCCAGTTCCAGGGGATCCAGCACTCTCTTCTGACCTCTGTAAGCCTTGCACAACACAGGCGCACTTACATACACGCAGGCAATACACTCATACACATAAAAATAATAAAATATTTTTTAAAAGGGGGGGGCGTGTGAGGACCTGGGTTCAGTCCCTAGTTGTCCTCACCCCTAAAAGGGACCTGGGTTCAGTCCCTAGTTGTCCTCACCCCTAAAAAAGTGTGAGGACAAAAGTGCAGTTAGTCCCAAACACTACTCTTCCAACACAGAAAAATCTGCTGAAACACTTTACATGTCTTTAGCATTCGGTCCTGGAGAGATGGACGTACTGGACACTTGTGTTCACATGAAGCTGGTATCCAATGTGTGAATGTACACACACATTCATACAAACACAGATGCTGCCCTGGGCTGCAGAACTTTAGATTTTTTAATCTTTTCTCAATTTCCCAGAATGATTATGAATTAGTAAAATAAATAAATAAACTCTAATAAATAAATAAATAAATAAATAAACTCTAATACATTATTTCAAAAAAGTTCTCAAAAAATCAACTCACCTTGGCTCTGCTTGTTTGGAGTTGCTATGTAGAGAATCCCAAGAAGAAAATTGATAAGCTCGGGGATGAACCTCCGCGACAAGGACACATACTCCAGGAATAAGCAGCACACAAACAGGCCTTTCACCACATCTTGCAGGGACAGCACTGGACACTAGGAGCCAAAGGAAGTTACTGCTCTGGAGTCATGTTCTGGACTACTGCACTCTGTAGACTCAAGGTCCCTCAGAAACAGGCTTGCTGACTATGAAGCTCTGTCTACAGGGTATAACTGCATGCACCAATCATGGAAAAAGAACAGTCTGAACATGAATCAAAAGGGAATGAACGTGGCCCCCATCCAAGTGGATCATGGTACCACTGTTTTTGGGGGGGTCCCCTCTACCTAACCTTGTAATGCTAATTCAGACCTCCTACTCCAGCCCTCCACCCAGCCCCACCTGGAACTCTTTCTGATGTCAGGAGCTCTGGGAGGGACAAGGCTGCCTTCTGATTTCAGAACTCCTGACTCCTCACAGCTTCTCCCAGGACCTTTGAGAGGAACGGTTTCTATGCCTCATCTTAGTGGTCAGTAACCACAGCCTTATTATTTTGTTGTTTTGACACAGGATCTCTACGTTGTTCAAGCTGTATTGAACTTGTAGATTTACCGTGACCCTCCTTGCCCGTAGCTGGGACCATAGGCCATACCAACCCTATCTGCTTCTGGAAGAGGGGACCAACCTTAGTAAGCAGCTGGCTCATGCACAGCAGGGCAGGCGTCACGACTGGGTGCCAGAAGTCAGAGGTTGGAAACAACATCCCAGCAATTTTCAAATAGAAGAGCTGGAAAGAAAGTATTGTCATACAGATTAAAGGAGAAGGGAGTTCAGAGGGCCCCCCAAAAAAAACTGGTCATGAAAGTCACACAGTAGGCATCGCCAGAAGCCACTTACATGATGCTAAGCAGGGATCCCTCACCACCTCCCAGGGTGCCCCTGCCCTCCTGTTCTTGTCCTACACACAGGACCCTCTGCAATGCCCAAAAGGGTAGGGCTTGTCCTATCCTGTGAGCTTAGCAGGGTCTACAACCCTCATCTCCAGTCTGAAGAACTGAAGCTTCAGGCTCCCATGGCTGGGGAGGGAGAGTGCTCACTAACCTCACACTCAGTGCCACTCCTGCCTTGGCTAGGAAGGAGGCAGCCAGGTGTCACCCTCACCCTCAGTCCTGCCTTAAGCCTCATGTGAAAGCAAGAACAGCCTGCCTTGCTATCCCCTCTTCACAGAGCACTAGGAAATTGCCCTGGCTCTAGCCCAGACCTCACCCTGCACCTCAGGCTGACATTAGTTGGTGACTCAGAGATGCTCCCAAGGAGGCTACAGCACTGCAGAAAGAACTCATTTCACCTTGTGGCTTAGACACTTCATCTTCCTACACAGCAGAGCTCAGTGCTCGTTCTCAACAAAAAGCTGTGGATAAGGCACAGGCAGGGAGACTGGAAGCAGGTGCAGTGCTAAGCACGGCACCCCTGAAGGACGGTGCAGTACAAGGCTCCAGGAGCCAATACGGCGTCCCAGCCTACCAGGACCATGTTGAGACCAGCAGGTGGCCTTCGGTGTGGCCTGACGCTGTGAATGTGTCTTGTGCTGAGGAACCAAGTCAGGACCAGGAGCTTCACCCTAGGGAGCCTCAACCTCAGCACGATTTCAAAGCCTCTACCGTTACTATATTTTAAGGATGAGATGGAGCACGCGCACACACACACACACACTCTCCCTCCCTCCTTCCTTCCTTCCCTCCCTCCCTCCCTCCCCTTCTCCTGGCCAGGCAGACTCTGTTACTACTGAAGCACTTTTGGACTCGAGGGGGGAGGAAAGCTTTGCCAGCTCCATGCCTGGCAAAATCCTGGTGCCCCATGGTTCCTCATTTTGGCAGCAACAGAACACAGTACGAGCTCTACAGCAAATTGTGAGGTGGGTACTATTCTGACACCAATAGGTCAAAGCACCAATAGGTCAAAGTGAGGGTTAGTATGTTAGCTTATCTGAGCTGGTGTCAGCCAGGCTCGGTGGCACGGGCCTTCAATCTGGGCCACTGTCAGAATGTGCAGCATCCCTTTTTTTACATAAGCAGAGATGCTAGAGAGGCTGAGGAACCCACACAAGACCGTGCATCTGCAAAGGACCTGGGACCTAACCCCAGGCAGCTCAACATCCCCTTGGTACTTCCTCAGCAGAAAATGAGCTCATCAGGAGGCAAAGACCAGGTGTCCTGGCTCCGGCTCTGATTTCAGTGTCTACCATATCCCTGGGTTAAACAGGCAAATGTGTAAGAAGGTCCTGGGTCAAGACCCACCCAAGCCATTAGCAGACTCAGGCCAAGTCATCTTTTGGGAAGAATATTAAAAACCACTAAAATAAGCCAGGTCTGGTGGCACACGCCTTTAATCCCAGCACTTGGGAGGCAGAGGCAGGCAGATCTCTGTGAGTGCAAGGCCAGCCTGGTCTACATAGCGAGTTCCAGGCCGGTTGGGGCTACAGTTTCAAGAATACCAACAACAACAACTAAAAAAAACATACTAAAACAATCCCAGGCTTCTGTGAATGACTGCCAATCCATGTCCACACACACTGGGTGATGAATGAAGCACTTCTGCATACGCTGGAAAGGCACCAAAGACGTGGTGCGGCATGAAGACTACCTCGAAACCATTAACAACCCCAGGTATTTAAAGACTCTTCCACATTAGAAGGAACAGAGAAACTGGGATTAAGCAAAGTAGAACACAGGCTGGGATCACTAGGAGAGCAGTGGTTGTGTTTGCCTTCCTCTGTGTCTGGATGACCCCAGAACAAAGCAGAGCTCCTCTATCACACTTTCTGTTCATCAATGGACCTTCCTCAGGCCTTGCTGCACTCCTCTCAGCGCACTCTGGAGGTCTGGCAGGAATGCCCAACCTCGTCACACTGCCACAGGGGAACTGAGATCTACAAATGTGCAGAGTTCCATCCACAGGTACCTGGGGCACACAGCCCACAGGCTGACACCCTGGCTGAGGCATCGTCAACTTCTCAAAGCCACAGGCCTGGCAACCTCTGCAGCCCTTCCTTTTTGGGATGCTGGCGGCAGCGGGGAACAGTCCAGTTAACCCCCCTCTGCTCACCACATCCAACCCTGGAAACACTGCCCGGCCTTTGGTCTCCATCATCTCATCCATCTCATGCATGGCGTCTCGGAGAACAAACCTGACGGAGTCACTTGCAGATTCAGGAAACATTTGGCAAAGATTATATAACTGCCTGTTAGACAAAACATGATAGAGAATAACTTGAGATAATAACAATCAAAACCTCCCCAAACATAACACTTCAAGACTTTCCTCCCACCACAACACTATGGCCAGATTTTTAACACCGGGCGTGGTGGGAGGTAGGGGGATCTCTGTGAGACTGAAGCCACCCTGGTTTACACTGTAACTTCCCCCCTGTCCAAAAAAAAAAAAATCAACAAAAGAAAAAAAGATTGTTTTCCTATGCCGGCTCAGTCACCTGCTGACTGAGCAAGTTGGAATGGAAAGCCTCCAGATGAACCTACTTTTAATCTGTTTCATGGTTGCTGGGTACTAACCCAGGTTTCATGTACAGCAAGCAGTGCTCTACCACTGAGCCAAGTGCCCAGCCCAGAGAGTCCACCTTTCCTACGACTGGTGTCTGATGGCGGACCTTCCTGGTGACCCAGGAAATAGTACAAAAAGCATTTTATGATAATCCATACTCTTATCTTTTCCTAAAATTCCTGGTACAGTGCTGTAGTGGACACACCTATGTTTATAGCATCAGCACTGCTGGGCACATTGTAGGTGTAGCCATGACACTTCACATATGAACTCACTTCCTCCTCATAAATACTTGTGTGAGGCCATCTTTCTGCACACCCAGCTGGCATAGTCAGCTACTTATGCGGCACACGGCAGGAAGTGGTTCAGAGAAGCACCTCTAGGTGCAGAGTCTCACCAATCTCACCCTAGCACCACCTCCTCCTGGAGATCTGTTCTGCTCTTCTTCCAGCCGGCAGGACTGGGAGCCGGGAGCCACAAGAGTCATCGGTTACTACAGCAGTGAAGGCCAGGACCCTTGCGCCATCCCTGGCTGGACAAAGGGACGCACCTCCCTAAGCGTGGCACTTTTGGACCCAAGCAGAGCCAGTCCTGCAGGGCCCGTGTGGTAGCAAAGGGTCCTTCTGCCATGTACCCTGAATACCGCTGAACTAACCCAGAGCTTGACAGTGAATGAAAAAGGCAGTTACCTGTTAATGCGGTAAACAAATTAAAGGGCTCATTACTTTAAAACCAACTTGTACTAATTTAAAATCAGTTCCATCTCTGCAGCAAGTGTGGAGTGGAAAGCTGCCAGGAGGTCAGGGCAGTGTGTACGTGTTGTGAGGCCCGTGGACAGCGCTAGGGACAATCTACCTGCCTGCCAAGTTCACACCACCACTGACCGCCTCAATGATGTCAAAATGCATATTATAACTTTAGACAGGAGAAATCTTGTTGAATTTAGCCCCATATTCCTGTTAATACAAGCATTTTACTTACACAACCAACTTATCAATTGTCTTGAGGTCTGGAGGATCATTCGTAGCCAAATTTCCTACATATTCCAAAAGGAAGCCAAACAATTTCTGCAGGAAGATGAATTGGGAGAGAGCTCAGTGCCAAACAAGAAAAACCAAACCACAAGCTTACAACTTTCATTACACTCCAAGGTCCAGCGGGGCAAGAGAATCCAGGGGCAGACCCCAGCATCCCTACAAAGTGGGAGCAAAGACACTGCCAGAAGCTGCTGGACTGCAGAGGGGTGAAAGATAGAGAAATAAAGGCTAAGGCTCAGGTGCATTCTTTGTGGGCTGGTAGGCTGCAGAACTGATAGAAATCAAAAAGAGGGCTGCATGGCAGTACATGACTGTCACCTCAGGGCTCACAGGCCGACACACTAGGGAGGAAAGGACAGGTTCTTGTTTCCTGAAAGCCTCTGCCACTGGTGGCCATGAAGTGAAATAACGGCCTGCTCTGAAGCACGGCGGCACCTGATGCCCTGGGGTAGTTCTGCCTGCCCACGTTAAGGGCTTCTGAAGTCACCACACTGGCATCAAGCCCGAATGGAGCCCGAGGCACACTGTATACTGTGCAACTCCAATCAAGTCTGACATCACAGAAACAGGATTAAATGAACACTCATCACATATTTCTTCCCACATACTTCTAATTTTGCTTTATTTCCCACTGCAAGACTTGGATGATTGCACTTCTGAATTCTTTCGACCACCAAAAGCTGTTCTTCCATTGATCTTCCTGATAACAAAGAGCTCAGCTCCTCATAGGACTCAGGTGCTATCAGAGACAGAAACGTGCACAAATTGACACTGACCACAGGACAATTCACATCTCCATCATCAGATAACAATGTAGGCACTTCCAGTTCCAGCCTATTTATACAAGTACATGTCTGAATTACTACAGACATAGGGAACGTTCTCATCCAAGGAGTCATGCACCCAAAAGACATCCTCGTCTGTTTTTGCTCAAAGAACTCTCTATGGCCATTAATGTGGAACCTATGCCAAGACCTGGACCCATGGTCACCAAGGATGACATCACCTGTCCACAATAAAGACACCACAAATGAGAACGTGACCTCGCACTCAAAATGTGCTCCCAGGGAGGGAGCCTGGCACACAACCCACTGTGACTGTGTCATGGAAATTTTCTAGAAAACAAGGAAACCCAACAAAGTTGGGAATGCAGCTCTGCGGTAAAGCACTTGCCTAGCATGGGCAAAGCACTGGCTCTGAATCCCAGCACTGAGTCTACCTGCAAAGACGTAGGGCAGCTCGGCTCGGGCAGCGCTTGGAGAGTCCTGATGGTAACCCAGCAGCTTCTCCCCAGGAGTGTGCTGTTCCTTGCTCTTTGGCGTCTCATTTTCCTCCTCACTGTCCACGTTAGACTCCAGGTCTGAGTGGCTGTCTGGGTCATCACTCTCCTCCTGGTCCTCCCTGTTCCCGTCGTCACCCTCTTCCTCATCTTCATCCTCTTCCTCACTGCCCTCATCGTCTTCTTCCTGGTCACTCTCTGGGCCACCGGCTTCCCTGCTTTGAGCCTCAGAGATATCATCAATGTTCATCTTCCCATCCTAGAAAGAGGCCAGGAGACCACAGTTAGAACACCCTTCAGGAAAAACCATGTGGTAACAATGCTTTACTACTTGCCTGTCCCCTGGCCGTGGGCCCCCTTGTGCACCCCTCTTTATAACACTCACTCTGCCATAGACTGGATGTGGTTTGTCCCCTAAGTGTTCATGTGTTTGAAGCTTGGTCTTCAGTGACATGCTGAGAGGTTAGGGACCATTAAGAGATGAGGCCTGGTGCATAGCCCTGTCAAGGAGGGCTGCCTTTAGGAGGAGCAGTGTGGTTTCCTTGGCCTGAGACTAGCTCCTGGGAGAGCTGTTATAAAGAGTAAGCCTGGGGCTAGAGAGATGCTCAGCAGCTAAGAGCACTGACTGCTCTTGCAGAGGACCTGAGTTCAAATCTGAAAACCCATATGGTGGCTAACAACCAGCCAGTTCCTGGGGCTCTGACACCTTTTTTTTTTGACCTTTCAGGATTTATTTCATCTGCTAATGTTCATTCTCCACCTAGACAAAAACAATTAGAGGGTGATGACTTGCTTTTCCATCACCAATTCATATTTCACATGAACAACCAAGATTCCTTCTCAACACTTTATAAATAAATAAAGCTCCTGGGTTCAAGTTAAACAGTCCCAGTTTCCAAAAGGTCACCCAGACAGTCCTATGGACCCTGCTTTCCACTTCAGGAGGGGATGGGACATTTGCAGGGCTGTAGGGTGCCTGGCAACCAAGTTAGCTTGCTGTGTTTCCCTGGCCTCTTGGCCTCAGGGAAGGCCTCAGGGTAGGCAGAGTCCTTGGAGTTGGAGGGGCACCTCATTCTGAGATGTCCCATGAGACGCTGTGGACACCAGGAAGCTTTGCCCCAAAACTGATGGCCTGAGCATTAGTGCAGGCTGAACAGCCAAGGGCACCTCAGCCTGGTGCTGGCCTGAGATGAGGAGGGAATATGCTTCAAATGCAGCAGAGAAAAGACCTGTGCTTCCCTGTGTGTCAGGATGGCAGGACGTAAGTTAAAACATATTCCAATATGTACAAAACAGATCCTATGCTTGGGCCGTGCACATGGGAAGCTATGAAGAAGGGCCATGTGGAGCTTGGGTGCTCACTACCTGCAACTAATATGACCTGGGAAAGACCCAAGAGCTCTCCAAATATGGCCCACCATTCTCCCAAGAGTTTATCCACCCTAAACTATGAGCATCCAAGCCAATTCCCCACATGGTGACCTTGACTAACTCACCTTGCTATCCACCTCTTTGGTGTGATCACCTACCACAGATGAGGTGGCCCTGGACTGGACTAGACAGTGCCCATCAGAACCCACCCTGCCTATGAATGCGAAGACCAACTGCCAAGTACCTGGGTGTGGGTTCTATGGCAATCACACAGCAAAGACTAAGCCATAAGGGGCTGTACCTACCAACACCTGGACTATTCCTATAGATGGCCTCCATTACTGTTGATGATGATCAATCCCTTCACAGCCTGAGTAGCTGAGTGAGACTGGAACAGGGAGGAAGCCCTGTCCTGCTTCAAGATCAGCTCACAGTCCTTAGCCACATACACATGGCTTCTGAAGAGCCACAACACCTTCACTCAGTGGTGGGCCCACCAGGGCCTCCTAGAGAACATAGGGAACAGCACACCAGGCAAGTGCTTAAAAACAAATGTGCAACATGGCTTCTAGTAGGGTCAGTGGCCCATCTGGAGGGCTGTTGGAAACAGCCTGGGCAGCCTTTGTGAGGGGGAGGAGATGCAGGGAGAGCCAGAGTGGGGAGGCTGTGCATATGGGTCCCCAGAGATGCTTCTTCCAACCTTAGATGAGAACAGTGAAGTTCCTATCCTGGCCATCCAGTACCAATGCAGGGCTTGGCTCACAGCAGGAGCAGTTGCTCCACAGCCCAGCCAATGCATGTTTATATGCATGGGACCGTAGGGCTGCTGGTGTGGTGAGAGTGGTGGCACACGAGCCCTTGAATAAATGTCCCACTGATGGAGCTGGGGCAGCAGATCACAAAGAACAGGGATTAAGGGGCAGTTCTTGGTGTCCAACCAGTTCCTGTCTGAGCTAGATCATCTCTCAATGCCAGGCTGGACCATGGATTCTGACCATGGCCCAGAGCGTGCAGGGGCCAGACTCTAGTCTTCTGTGCTTCAGCCGTGGCTAACCTGACCTTGAAAGCAGCTTTGATAGGGGAGGAGGAAGGAAGTCCCAGGTCTGAGGACACCTCAGAGATCTGCTTGTGTTCTTGCAGACAAGGCTCCCCAAGACTCTTGAGTTATCAGGGTTCCAGCCCCCAAGAAAATGAAATTAAAAAAAAAAAACTTATAAAAGGAGTCACAGGTGGAGAAGGGCTGGAGAAAAGCTCAGCAGGTAAGAGCACTGGCTGCTCTTGCAGAGGACCAAGGTTCGGCTCCAAGCACCCATATGGTGGCTAACAAGTCTGTAACTCCAGCTCCAGGGAATCTGGCACCCTCTTCTGGCCTCCACAGGTACTTACATACATGCAGGCAAGAAACTGTTCACATAAGAAAGAGAAAAGAAAAGGCGGATGCCTGGGCCTTCCATCTCTCTTGGACCTGCTACCTGGTCACAGTACTTTCTTCTGCATGCACTCCCCCAACTACGGTCCTCACTAGGCCTGAGCAGAAGATGGCACTGAGCCCTCACACTTAGAGAGCAGTGAGCTCAGATATAACTATGATAGTTACTAAGCCTCAGGAAATCTACTATGATAGCAAGAAAGTGGACCAATACAGCCCTTCAGAGAACCCTACTGCCAGGATTATGAGAAAAGCTTAGGTTCTGCCACAGAGCTGCACAGTACCATGACGTGGAAGGCACTGGATGTAGAAGGCAGCAGTGGCTGAGGTGTGACATGGGGTCTGGGAACAGAGGATGACACTGACTTCTCGCTCTGGGACTGCACCTGCTCATGTGAAGTGACTCTTTTGTTTGTTTTGATAAGCACTCCATTTTTCTTTTCTTTTTTTATTTATTTTTTTTGTCTTTTTGAGACGGGGTCTCCCTGTAGCCCCAGCTCCCCTGGAACTCACTATGTAGACCAGGCTGGCCTTGAACTCACAAAGATCAGCCTGCCTCTGCCTCCCACGTGCTGGGATTAAAGGCGTGCACCACCATGCCCAGCAACACTCCATTTTATGTATTGGACCCATCTCAAAACACTAGGCAAGCCAGTTTTCCTGCCCTGGCCCTGACTAATATATTTTAAGGAGACCAACTCTTTATAAATTGTGTGAATTAAAGACTGCACCAGGGCTGGGTATATAACTTAGTGGTACTATGCAAGCCTAACACACACAAGGCTCTGGGTTCAACCCCTAGCACCACACAACAAATAAACCACCAGTTCTCAATATTTCATGAAAAAAATTCAGAATTCGAGATGGGTAAAGAGGCACATCCCTCAAATTCCAGCATTTAGGAAGTAGGATTGTGAGTAGGCTAGCCTGGGCTATACACAAGAACCTGTCTTACAGAAAAGTAACCACCACCATCAATAATACTGTTACGCAGAACTCTGAGTTAGCTCACTCAATAGTACAGTGTCATGTAATCTTAACTCACAATCAAAAAGCGGTTGGTGTTAACAACGGACTAAAGAGCAAGAAGTCAATCCATGGTCCTTCTCGAGGGACAGCAATGCTACCACTGTCCTCTCCATAAAGTTCAATACTAGACATGTCAGAAATATACAGATGAAAAACTTGACAGAAATTGTTTAAAAGGATTAAAAATTTCCAGTTGTTAGGAATTCCTAGAATGCATACTAGACAATGTGGTTTTTACATTAAGGGAGGGAACCCAAACACCTTACTTTGTAAGAAAGCACACGCCTATCATCTTTGTCCAGAACAAAGCCATCATTTAAATCGTCTGCCGACATATGCTTTGGTTTCTTCTCATTTTCATCTTTATCTTTTCCAAGCATTCTTCGAAGTCTTTCAGCCTGAGCGCAAGGAAAAAGACGTCACACTGTACTCATCAGATCTGCAAAAAGGAGGCCTGCTCTCCCTGCTTTGACATGGGGCATTCATCCTGCTTTGTGTCTGCAGTCTTCAGTCACAGATGTGAGCCCGCCCGCACGCACACACACGCACACACACACACAGGGGCGCACAGCCTGGAAGACTTCCATATTTAACAAACTGATCAACCTTGGTGGCAGAAATGCTGTCCTGCCAAAAGGGAGAGAAAACCTATTCTTGAGGTCTGACAACCCAAATGACACGTCTCACCGGCTGCACCAAAACAGAGGGAGAACGCAACCATGATAGCGCAACTCAGCAGATCTATTTACAACACTCAGAGTCTGCAAGGCCTGTGACATAGCTATGTTTAAACAACCAGCTGCAGAAGTACTTTTCTGCTTCATTTTTATTTAAATACAATGACACCTCAAAAAACCAAATGACAGGAACAGTTTATAAGCAATTCCCTAAACTATCAGCTGCTATTTGGGGGGAGGAGTTAGAGTGCCCTTGTGTACTGTTCGCATTTTACTTCACAGTTCCTCCTCTAAACAAAAGCTACATCCATGACTGTTCAAGTGTACGTCTCAGACAGCCCACCTTCAGCACAAAGCGGAAAAGCCCGTAAAGGATAGGCCACAACTTGGCCCCACCCACAGAACCAAGCGCCCCATTCAGTGCACATGACCACACCTCCAGTTTCCTGAGCCGTTCTTGCTCTTCCTTTGCCAACTCCTCTTCTGTTTTCATCCTGTTGCAGGGCTGTGCCTTCATTTCAAAGCCAAGCTCACGAACCATCATGTCATATGCATCGGGCTAAGGTAGAAAAGATGCTTTCAGTATTTTTTACAAAGAGAAAAGAAGCATGAAGCTCACTTCCCAACATACCCCATGAATGACCAGGCACCATCATGGAAGAGGCTGAGCTACATCTATGTCTTTTCGAGACAGAAAGCTGCTCTGGCAGCTGGAGCGATGGCTCAGTTGTCACAAATACGTGTGGCTCTTCCATGGAGTTCAGTTCCCAGCACTTCTGCCCTGCAGCTCACAACTGGAGTTCCAGCTCCAGGGGATCTGATACCCTCTTTTTGACCTCCAAAGGTACCCACATACATGTGCTCTCATGCACACATGCACATGTATACACACACACACACACACACACACACACACATGCATAAAAAAACATATATA